TTATTATTTTTTTGCTCTGAATATAGCTCTGGGAATAACGATCGCTGCAACTATGGCCCTGTTGTGGATTAAGTTTCTGCTGCTGCGATTGGCAGGGAATGGGTGTGTGTTTACGCTGCAGTTGCAGCTAATTGTGTGCCCTATGATGGCTCTGCTGTGGGCGCTGTCACGTCTCTCACGCTTCCACTCACTGTGGCTGGGACACGCTGCAGTGTGGGCTGGGCTTGTTGCACTGACTGTACAGTTACAGACACCGACACAGTCAGTAAGTTAGTAAGTTACCAGAGAGCGATTGTTGGGTAAGTACAGACTGTACTAATGCTGTAAAATCAAGCTTGTGCAATATGAGACGCTCTCCCTGTATGATGCAATGTATTTCAGGCTCCAGTGTGTGCAGCGTTGCCGATACTGTGTGTGTGTGTGTGTGTGGGGGTGTGTCTGCCTCGGCCGGTGCTCTATAACACCCTGTGTTTGTGCTCCATTACACGGGGAAAGCGAGATGTGTTGTGTGTGCTCAGCTGTCAGTGTAGCCAAACGGGCAATCACTAACTTGTGCTAAACTCTGCACATTGTACTGTTAGTTGTATGTGTGTAGGGATGACTCGCCAGTTGCAAACCTCGACTGTCCAAATAAAAAAAAGTTGCAGACATTGACGAAAGTCTTTTCCTGAAACTGCGAAGCGATTTTCTCCCTGAAATATTTGTTCAGGGTGTTTTTTTCTGCATAGCATATTGGTTTACTCTTTTGCCTTGTTAGCCTGTGTGTGAGGCTGTGTGTGTGTGTGCTGCCCCAGGGTATACTCTTAATGTGCTCTATTTGTACCTGCCCAAAACTCACTCGGAGCCAAACCCAATGATTTAGAAATTCTGAACATTTTTTTCCAAGGGTCCTTCCCCACTCCCCAGTGTGCAAACAAAGTTCCACATTAAGTTTTGAGAAGTTGACTGATTTAACCCATAGCAAAAGATTACTTCTCCAAGAAACAGTGGTCTTTGTGGACAAAGAAAATATTTCACATAGATTGCATTGTGGATGATTTTCTTTTTAAAAAAAACTCATTTATTGTCTGGAAGGATACAGGTTTAAGGGCTTAGAGAAGATAGCTCCAGTGAGAGAGATTGCAGAGCCAACATGGGGAAAGGGTACAAAGGTGATTAGAATAGCTCGCTCCAGTGGGGGAGCTAGCACCAAGACAACAACAACAAAATTACATTTATAGAGCGCCTTTCACGTCGAGTGGATGTCCAAAGGCGCTGGATAGTCAGAGTTATGGTCCTGAGCTGAGGGTCGGGGTCAGGACGAAGAGGGGCTACAGCAAGTGAGTGGCCTGTAGGTTCAACCCCACATCAGGCTTCGAACCCTTATAGTCTGTGCTGGCACTCCAATGCTGGGGATTGTAGGAGATGCTGTCCTTCGGATGAGACGTTAAACCGAGGACGCCTCCACCCGGACAGGCAGATCTTAGAGATTCCTTGGCACTATTGGAGAACAGAAGGGAGTTTTTTCTGGTACCTTGGCTAACAATTTCCCCAATAAGATTGATAACTTATTCCATGGCTGCATGGACATTGCTGCACAAATTGGCAACTTTTCTTACTCCACACACCTCTGTTTACCGAGAAGTAAGTAGGAACTCGGTTGTTAGTCGCTTGGCGGATCGCTTTCTGGGGTAATAATCCTTTCAAAAAAATTATGGTCATTCAATCCACGACTGCTGTGAGACTGCTGTGCGCAACTGGCTGCCGCGTTTCACCCACAAAATATGCAGTCAATTCACTTTACAATAGGCATATTTAAAACAGGTAAGAATACAAATGATTCAGGGATGGGCATTTTGTTCGATTTACCCGGTGTCGGGGTTAACTGGCATCCAGCTAAAGAGTATTCACTGTATTCTGTGAAGCGCTTTGCGATGTCTCAATGACCCTATATCAAATGCAAGGATTATTAGTAGTAGTATCCTCGAGTTATCAATCTTTTTAGATTGTGCACCTAAAAAAAAACATTATTCCTGCTATTGCATTCTGCAGAAGAGGCTGCTTTGTAACTGTTTCTGTCTCACTCTGTTATGCAGATTGTGTGACAGCGCACAGTGTGACTGACATCTACGTCATGCTCTGCCACAGGAATTGCATAACAGAAGTGAAACAAGTTACACTTATGAAGGTGGAGCGAACTTGGCAATGGGTTGTTTCTCTCCATTGCTGTATTGCCTTTTGACTCTGAAGTAGGCTGAATGGGGTCAGTCAATGCTGGGATTTGAACTCATAGCTTTTTGAAGTGAGTACTGAGGTGTTGGGGCTCTGACACCAATCTTGTTGCTAGAATAGGGAAATCCTCTGACCCACCTTACACTATATTTGGGTCACTGAGTTCAGTTTGTGGTGATATACGTACTCTATAGAGACACTGCTGGTCAGCAGCAAAACTGCATGAAGATTTAGGAAATCGGAATTCCCTCCGACTCTCACCATTCTTTCCTCTCGGATGTTATTGGGGGGCTGGATCGGTACCTCCAAAGGAAACCTCTAACATGCAGTGGAGGATGTGACAAAGAGCAGGCAGGTCACAGGGATCAGCTGGCATTCAGGGAAATATTTTGTCCCATGGAACTGATGCAAAGATTTTATGATGTGTTGATGTTGGAATAGGCATTTGCAGTTATTTGCACATATTCAATCTTAGCTGGATAGCGATGACTGGTATGTTTCTTTGCTGCTTTAAGCATCTTTTTTTAAGTGACAAAAAAAAAACAAATTATATTTCTAATCGGGTGGATTGACAACGCAGGTGGCCTTTGGCCCATACTGTCTGTGCATTACCCTTTCTGTGTCTTAAATTTTGTTGAATTTATAATAATAATCCTTGCATATGATATAGTGCCTTATCACATCTTTGGGACGTCTTAAAGTGTTTCCCAGGATATACTGTAAAGTGAATTGACTGTATTTTGTAGAGGAAACGCAGAAGCCAATTGGACACAGGAGTGTCCCACAAACTATCGTGGATTGAGTGACCAAATTTGCACTGTGCCTGTGGTATTGTTACTCCAAACAGATCTAGTGAGTGTTTGTGTTTGTTTGCCTGTTTGAGCATTTTGTTAGCATGTTAGAAGATCACTGCATTTAGCTCAATTTGCATTGCAGAGATGAGTGATGTGATTGGAATTTGAATTCACATTAGTGTGGACCTGAAGCACCATTGGTCTGGGAGTAATTAGAATCCATTGTGGAGAGGCTGCTTTACTGCGGGTACACAGAACAGTTGGCCAGACTGTAAAGGGGCCTTTCTGCTTTAAGCGAGTGGTGATCTCATTAGTAGCCGTTTGTCTGCACACGTGCAGTGCCATGTGGCATTTCTAGCTGATTCCTGCTGACGTTGAGCATCGGGCAGCCTGGGATAGGCTGAGAGCAACTGACAGTGTGAGGGGGTGGGTTTATGCTGTTGTCTACACACAGGCTTCAGGAATGTAAGCAATATGCTCCAGTGGCTGCCTGTAATTATTCAGAATGGGGACGTTTGTGGTCGAGTGGAACTGAGGATGTAACGGTGCCCGACATGGTAATCTGTGGGGTAACCACAGGATTAAGTGGTTATACTGGCAGGGTTATTTTAAGGAAAGATTCCTATTGAGCAGTGTATCTGGGAAGCTCGACATTTCACTGAAACACTCGCTGTAGGAATTAGCCTCTACTGTACACTCAACCAATTGAGATCGAGAGCAAGTGTGATATCAGGGACGTGATGGGTGTGTAAACGTGAGCCTGATAGCAAATCCTCTGGGTAACGCTGGGGATGTGATTCCTGGTAAAAACTAATTTGCTTTCATGGCTGAGCTGCTGAACTCTAGCTGCCACAGAGTTCATTGAAGGAAATCTACTTGCAGCTTTGGTAGAGATGGAACTGAACTCAGTTCAGACTGTAAATTTTCAAGGCTGAGGAGAGCATTCTCTCTTCCCCCCCACCCCCCGTTAGTTATTACCAAGCCAGGGTCGCAGCATGTGTATCTACGCCTTTCCCTGGGATCTGTATAGTATCTTCAGGTGGAATTGAGTGTAGTCCAAAGATATATTGATGCATGAAATACGACTAGAATGGTGCATTTCAACACCGTATTTTGGCGATCAAAGTAGCCAGTTTTCCTATTAATGCAGATTCCCTTAGTGTGACTATCAGCTGAAACTGGGATTGATGTGTTTAAACTGAAACCACATTGTCCAGAACTGGGAGATCCACTTGGTGTCCGGGAAGAGTTGTGTCCCTGAACGTTTGTATAACTTGAGTAGAAATTACAATGAAAGTAATTGGTGCTCTGCTGTGCTCAGAAACCAGTGAACTATCTGTCTGATGTACACACTCCATGAACCTTTCATTTATATCATGATGGTTAATAAATTCATGTCAAAAGTTTCAAATTCTTGGGATTCTCTGAGATTCAGTTCTGAACATGAAGAAATCTTAAGCAGTTTGTTATATTCTTCTAATCGGTGTGTGCCTGAAGTTCCACAGCTGATGTGAGATTAGTTATAGGCATCAGAGATCAATTGTCTGCCATTCTTGTGAGCTGAGTGAAGCTTCAAGGCTGAGTAGAAATAATAATATTAATAATAATCATTGCATTTGATATAGCTTGATTTCTATTCCAGTCTCAAAGCGCTTCACAGAATAGACTGTAAATTTAATTGACTGTATATTTTGTGGGCAAAATGTAACAGCCCATTGTGAACAGCAGTGTCCCACAAACAGTCATGGATTGAGTGATCAACTTATTATTTTATTTGTTTTTTTTAAGGCATTATTATCCCCATAAAGCGATCAGCCAATCGACTAACAGCCAGGTTCCTACTTACTGCTAGATAAACAGAGGAGTAAGGAATCTTGCCTGAAGTTTTGCACTGCCCGGGTCCTCTTGCTTTCAAGGCGAGCGCACTAACCAATACGCTATAGGACTCCAGAAAGTTTCAATTATGTTAACAAGGCTTTGTTTTCATTTCCCTAGGTACCTGGTACCTGTAGGAACAAACATCTGCAGCTTTGCTGACTTGCGGTGATTGACAGAGGCCATGGGGACAGAGACAGTAAGTTACAAATGCTCTCTCAGTCCTTACTCTAATACCTGATTTTGTGGCCCATATGAAAAGTGCAGCTTTATCTGAGATTGAAAATAAGAATGACCAAGATAGTGTTTGCCATGAGAACAGTACATTAACCAGAGCTACAGGCCACTGGATAAGGTGCAAACTGCAGCCCCTTCCTTCCCTCATACACCCAGCACAAATCAAATGCTTGGTAAATGATGCTTGGGTGCGAAACAGACCGTTTATACTCACACTGCAGAGCTCTCATGGTACACAAGGTGATTGGAGGTGATTAATGGTGTTGATTATCTCCGGTCCAGTGGGCTACTGACAGCCGTGATTATTGCCTATTATAACCAGGTGCCTAGGAATCAGCTGCTGACCCAGGGAAGGCACTCAGTGTTGTCACAAAGTGTTAATGCTGAGCAATGCTCATCACCAGGTCTACACTTCACATCACGCACTTGTAGATATGGGCTGTAGAGGAGTTGGTTGGGGGTTTGATCTTCCTTTCCTTTCAGTGGGAAAGACCACAGCTTGCATCACTTCCATAAAGTGTGAAAATGCACCCAAATAAAATAAGTTCTTTACTAAATTAATTCAGTGCAAATGCAAAAATCCACAATTTCTGGATCAGTAACTCAGGACAGATGATTTAACTCCTGAAATATATACGGTCGGTGTTGAAAATGATTGAATGCACTGTGCAGGTAGTTTGTGAAGAGCTGGAGAGAATCTCACTCTTTCATTACATGGTAACAAAACAGATCCTGTAGTTCTCAGCATGATTCTCCGAGGAGCCCACAATTCTCCGAGGGCCTGCCTGCACCTGGGCCTGGGTGTGCGTGAGAACCGTGGAAGAAATCAAAAGAAATCAAAACTCACCGATAGCATGAAATCTAGGTTAAAGCGACCACATGCTTTGAGGAGCCTGTGGCTGAACTCTTCCACCAATGTTCAGCACTGAACGGCCATCGGCGGTGGAGTTTTCTGGGTGAAACGCAGCAGTTGCACGCAGCAATATCCCACAAACAGCCATGGAGTGATTGACTAATCTTATTTGGGGGGGGTTGTTGGCCAGGATATAGGGAGAAACTGCTTCTCTTTTTGAATAGTGCCAGGAGATCTTTAATGTCCATCTGAACAGGCTGACATGATCCCGGTTTAATGTCTCCTCCGAATTACGGATCATTCTACGTGAATGCAAGTTGAACTGGCTCAGCCAGTCTGCCTTCTCTACTAGTGCAAAGTTCTGAGAGAAGTATGCAATTATATAATTAAAATGTAATCTGCTTTCATTTATTTCTATCTTTGGAAACTAGCAGGGATGTTGGTCCATTTGTTGCGAGGCGTAGCTGAGCCCAGCAGGACTGAAGGTAACTAGTTGCAGGTGGAGCTTGGTTCGTGAGCTGATGTACAACCCCTCACACTGGTGGTTGGTAATGGTTCTGAATCACTCACATAGTCAACAGATGAAAAAGCACAAAAGAATATTGGTATAACTTAAAGTTCCTGTTCCAAAATATCAGGTGACAATGAGTAACTAAATAAACCACGTAAAGACAGTGTGATATCAGGGTTGTGCACAGATTAGACTATGGGGAGATCTGTCACATATCCTCAGGTTAGATAATAATAATTTGGTCACTCAATCCATGACTGTTTGTGGAATGCTGCTGTTCACAATTGGCTGCTGCCTTTCACCCACAAAATACACAGTCAATTCACTTTACAGTATATTCTGTGAAGCGCTTTGAGACGTCTCAATGACTTGATAAGGTGCTGTATCAAATGTAAGGATTATTATATAAACTTGAAATGGGAAGTGTAAAAAGACTGGTAAAATATCTGACTGGTGCAAATACATTTTCAGAAGATGCTGGCAGGTACATAGGTAAACCTTGTTTCTGTGAAGCTTCTCTGCAGTATTCATTTCTAACAGAAATTGTTTTTCTACTGAGTGCACAAGCAAGGTGGGGTAAGGAATGCGTTCTGACACAAGGTTGAGTGAGTTTGCTTTATAGATAGTGCGAACTCAGCCTTACAGGAACCTATGTTAGCTGGGGAGAAAAGTTGAATATCCAATAATTGAGAGTGAGACGACTGTGTGATTGTCAGTCAAAGCGCGTTTTTCTAATACTTTTGCACGGCAAGCCCCCAGAATATTGCCGACAATACAAAATTATATTTATAACGCGCCTTTCGCGTCGGGAGGATGTCCCAAGGGGCTGAACAGTCAGGGATTAGGACCCGAGCCGGGAGGGTGGGGGGTTGTGATCAGAGAGGGTGGAGGGTAGCCTAAGGCACAGTCGAATAGGGGTCTTGAGGCATGCCTTAGGAAAGGGAGTGAGGTGAAGGGAATGTGGGATTGAGTTCCAGAGGTTGGGAGGCGGAGAGGTTGAAGGCCCAACCGCCGGTGGTGGGGCAGACCAGTGGGGGAGATAGAGCAGGTCGGAGCCTGCTAAGCTGTTTGAATGGACAGGTTGATAAGGGGTTAGCAGGTTGGAGAGGTAGGAGGAGGCAAGGCCATGAAGGGCCTTCAAGGTGAGGATGAGAATTTTGAACTCGATCCTCTGATGGAGAGCAAGTGGAACTGGGCGAGGTTAAGTGTGATGGCATCACAGAGCCTGGTGTGGGAGAGGGCACAAGCTGCAGAGTTCTGGATGATCTGGAGCTTACGGGGGGAAGAGTTGGAAGACCAACAAGCAGGGTGTTGGCATTGTTGAGCCTGGTTTTAATGACGGCACCTATGAGGGATTCAGTGGCCTGAGGGGTGAGGTAGTAGTGGAGTCGGGCAATGTTGCGGAGGTGGGGGAAGGCAGAGCAGATCATGACACTGATGTGGAGGAGAAGGGATAGTTGAGGATCCAACAAGACCCTAGGTTCCTAACAGTCTTGGTGAGGTGGAGTGTGCATCCTTGGACCTGAGGTTCAGAGGCGCTGGCCCGAGCCAATCAGCAGAGCCTCGGTCTTGCTGACGTTCAACTGTAGAAAGTTAGCTCTCATCCAGGACTTGATGTCTGTCAGGACATCAGTGGTCCTGGGGTTGAGGGTGGAGGCTGAGAGATAAAGTTGGGTGACATCCTCATACATGTGGAAGTTGACCCCATGTCTGCGGATGATGTCACCAAGAGGAAGCATGAACAGTTTGAAGAGGAGAGGACCAAGGACAGAGCCCTGAGGAACACCACACAAGGCGGTGTGAGGGCTGGAGGAGAAGCCATTTGTGGAGCCGGTATGAGCGATAGGATCTGAACCATTCAAGGACGGAACCTTGAAGGTTAAGGTGAGAGGAGAGGCGGCGGTGGAGGATAAAGTGGTCCACAGTGTCAAAGGCAGCAGAGGTCGAGGAGACACAAGGATCCCCAGTCACAGATGGACAGAATGTCATTTGTCACCTTGATCGAGGCTGTTTCCAGGGCTATCTGAACACAACGTTGAATGGGTGTCTATTGGCTTGAAGTTAGGTGCCCACTCCTTTAATTAGCCTGGCAAAGTCCAGTTACACAAAGCATGGCATGTCTGTTGGTCCAGGCTATCAGCTCCATGTAGAGATGGTCCCAGTTGATGCCAAGAAAGATCTTGCATGTTTATATCATTGTATTATATTGAACCATCTCTATTGTGTCAGATGTAGTAACTGTTTTTGGAAGTTCTTGGTCTTGAAGATTGTTGGCCAGGACAATGTAAGAAACAGCCGTCTGGTTTTGAATAGAGTTGTGGGATCTTTAATGTCTACCTGAAGGATAGGCAGACAAGAACTCGATTTAATCGGGAATGCACATGGCAACAGAGGTTCAAACCCCAAAGAAGGCTGTGCGGAATAGCTGAAAGCAGAAGCCACTTATCCTTCAGAAAGCAAATCGAAATTCTCTTCAACTCATACCAAACAGTGATAACTACAAACCTGTCTGTGGTTGGTATTGTCACTCTGCAGTGTAAAGGAAGCACGGTGTACGTCACAGAACATACTTGATGTGCCCTGGCTCTGAGTCACTGATGTGGGGGTTGGGAGACAGACATTTGCTGGTGATTGCTGATGAGCTACTGTTTCAATTGTTCTATGTTTTATCATTGATTCGCGCCAAGTGAGAATTGCAGAGTGAGAATAAGTGGCCAATGTAACAGAATTAAATACAAACACAATCTTTCTCAGATGATGTTGGCACCATCTATCTTGATGCTGTGAACAGGCAGATCAGCGTCCACAGTAACCTGACTAGCACTAGCTAGGAAGTGACAGCAGCTCAAGTCAGTTAGTCATTATAGCAGATCAGGCTCTTAGTCTGATCCTAACTGAAATCTTATGGTTGATGTTTCTCACTGATTGTTAATTAAACAACATGAACCTGTGGCAATCCTTGATAAGATGCCTGTCCCTTTCTTCCATGCCAGTTGTCTTTGTCTTCTCTAATGTTTCTTTCTGGGTTTCCTTTTTCTTTCTCTAATCCTCCCTCTTTCTCTACTTTGCTCTACTTAGTTTCTGTAGTTCTCTGGTTTGTCCTTTCTATATCATAGTGAATGTACAGCAGGGACACAGGCCACTCGGCACAACGAGTCCATGTCATGTTATACTCCACACGAGTCTTCGCACATTTCTTACTCTGTCCCACAACCGTCTCTTCCCCTCTCCCTCTTGTGAGAGAACAGTGTCACTTGTGCTTTCATTAGTCTATATTTCTTTTCTTTCTCTCTCTTTCTCACGCACTCTAACACTCTCTCACACACACTCACTCTCACACTTCTGACTGATTCACTCTCTTCTGTTCCCTCCCTGCATAGGCTGGTTGAAGTGTCTTTTTATCTCTCTCAGACTTTCCTTTTGTCATAGTATCATGTCTGTTTGGTTCACTCAAGTCTCTTGGATTATCACTCTGGGTTGGAGTGTACATGTGCACGTGTATGTCTCTCTCTCTCCGATGCAGTTTTTGCCTCCCTCCTTCCTGCCTTTATCTGTCTGAGTTCCTTTACCTCGATGACTGGCCTGGTTTTATTACTGT